TTTTTCTTCTGTGCCCAACTGTATAAGTATTTTCAGCTTAAGTGAAGAACTTAATACAGCTCAAGTGAATTCATTAAAGTCAGTGCCATAACACATACATAAAACTTGGATAACACTAATGTTCTTCGTAATTTTGTAATCTTACCGAGTTAGCAGTTCTTGTTGTTGTATTCACAAAGCAATTGTAGCCAACAGCTAAATAATTAGGGAAAAGAAACACAATGTTATTAAAGACGTTATGATCTCCAGATCTCTGTGCAGAACGCAAAAATATCAGTCTGAAAGTTATAATCTGTTTAGCATTAGAATAGTGATTTAATAACAGATGGTTAGTATAAAGTAATATTATATAATATATGCACAGCAAATTTATAAAGGCACAGGAAGACAAGTGGGAGTTCAGAGTGAACCAAAGCAATTTTCCATTTTTAACAATTCCAGATTAATATATAATATCCAGAGTGCTTTGAAATAATCTATTGCTTCATACTTCTTGAGCAATAAAATTCTGAGGAATCTGAATATAATATCACAGAGTATGCTGAGTAACATTTTTGATTCTATCATTGTTTTCTACATAATAGACCTCAAAACCTTTTTCCAATTCACTTCTTTTGCAATGCTCCATGTAGACCTCATCTTACCAGTCCTTTACCTCCAACAATAGCAGGAAAAGAAAGAAGGTCACCACCTGCCACCTGTATCTACTATATCAATATTTCTATTAGAGGTATGGTACACTTTAAAATACATAACACATTTTTTAGGTTCATATAACCATCACCTCCTCCTCCTCCTGCCCAAGATGCTATTATTTTAAGGAATCTCCTTATTAAAATTAATAAAATAACAGTATCTTTTTTCAGGTTGATGGGCATTTGAAAAGGGTTGGGCTATTTTAATAACAGATATATCAGGCCCAAACCCAGAGATGACACAGGGAAATCCAACTGAATTCAATCTTTTATTTACTTATACCTAATGGACAGAATTTTACCAAACTAACTAGATATATGCTGAGTGATTCTAGATTATGGCTATCCTGAACCTTTTCCTTCCTCCAGCTTGGAACTGTGCAGTACCGTAACCCTCTGGGAAAGCTCTGTGTTGCCAAAATACTTCCCCACTGCTTTTTCAGGTACACTTTCCATCACATAATAACAGCTAATCCCGTTGTTATATGTTACAGTAGTGATGTTATAAATCATCAGGAATCCTTGGAGATTATGGTGATAATTTGTCACATTTGACAAATACATCAGAGAGACATTTTGGCGGACTTTTTAAAAACTGCACAGTATTAACAACTGGGGGGGGGGCAGAAAAAATATGCATTAAAAAGGAAAAAAAAATACTTACAGAGGTTGACTCTAGGCAATACAACAGAATGCCAAATAATCCTTAAGTTTGTTACTAAGAGTCTGCCTAGAAAATAAAAAAAATATTGGAATTTCTACATACGATAACTTTGTTTTTGTAGATGAGAAACAGAAAAAAAAGTGCATGACATGGACAAGTTGGACATGTAATCAAATATAACGTAAAGCAGTGTGGGAAGTTAACCCAGAGAAGGAAATATTAAAAAGGTAGAAAGAAAGATATTGTTCACCAAAAGGATTTTTAAAAGCATTTTCTGAAAAGCAGAAACCAAACCTGGCCTCATCTCTTTGCCCAGGGCAGTAGTTAGTCTTATACATATGCAGATGTGGAACCATCAGAAAGTTTGGAGCCAGGGATCTCAAGACAAAAGAAGCTCTTAAGAGTCATTAGCCCCATCACCTGGGAAG